TTCGGCTGCTTATTACCCAAACAAAATTTTCTGACTGCATTTTGTATTGTCCAGTACGTCTGCAATTGTTTCAGTCGAAAATTTGAAACGGTATTTGAGAAGGGCATGAAGGAAAGCAGTAAATTCTTTGAAACTATTTCTTAGTCTCATTTGGCATTTCTATCCTGTATTATGCACTGACTAACCTGAATTCGGGTTTGAAGGCGGCTTCTCCATCCCGGTGATACATCCTCAATGCGGAAACTCAAGCCGATTCCATTATCTCTGAATGGAAATGGTTTTGTACTGTCCAGAAGTCGACCGTCCAACCGAGATTCTACACTGCAAACATGCTTCAATGCATCTTTGGTGTCAGACAGCACGTACACACGAATATTGTAGTCCATGGTCGGTGTCAATCGGCTAGAAAATGCTGCCAGACGAAGCATCTTGGTCGCAGCGCCGTAGTTGTGCAACGGGACCAGAGCGTTTGTGTCTTTCAAGTTCTCGTTTGTCCCACGTAATCCCATGCTTGGTGTTAAATGAGCCGCGCCATTGGGTGATGGAACGAAATCCGTTTGGCTGATGCTTTTTGGCAATAAACCGATTGGCATTGAATTCTTTATTGTCTCCCCGATCAAACAGTACCTTTCAGGACAATCAGTAATCAGATGAACTGAACAGTTGTCCAAGTGACAGATTATCTTCAGATTCGGGGGTTCATTACCGATCACACAAATTTCCTGAAAATGATACAAAGGAAAGTAATCATGTTAATTAGGCAACAAATCTCTTATTCCGATAACCATAAAAAACAGTAGATCTTGATGATGTCTATGCAACCTCGTTTATGTTCAGTGTGCTAAATCCTCTATCGTCCGATTCGTCCAGTTCTGTCCCAGTACATACAGCAATACCAAAACCGATCTGATGACATAAAGCCGACCTTTAATGGCCATTAACTATCGTCTGTTCTGAAAGGAATATCTAACCTCGAAGAAAATATTCAAACTTCGTGTATCCGTGATGCTTGCTAATCGGGGCATTGTAAGATCCGTACAGGAAGCCTTTGAAAGATTTCGGTATGGTTACGGAGCATTGACCGCGGAATCCAACAAACCGCAACCAGATAATATCATAGTCACTAGAATATTAGATTATCGTTGAAGTTATTCACTAATAAAAACGGTTCAATAGAAAAAAGTTGGAAATTTTATTTCAGCTACAAAACTAACATCACAATGTTCATCAGAAGTGTCATTATCGATAAATCTGACAGTTTATCCCGGTGGCAGAGGCATCGGGCAAAATGTCCACGGAGTTTTTGTGTTGTTTTCCGAGCCTGAACTACTTCTTTGTCTTTGCATGATAAGATCTGAACCACGGTAGGCAGATAAAAGTATAGACACATGTACGAAGTGCAGCAAGCTCAATATATCAGTTGAAGTTGTTCCTCGTCGAGATGATTTAAAGCGCCACGGTTTTTACCGAAATTGGGTCGTTTGGGGTTTGGTCATACCACAGATGAACGTAAATCATTGAGCAACTATAGTAACTTGGCCCTAGGCCACACTATGTTGAGATAATGTGAATCTGTATCATACACTCTTATCTCTCCCTCTCCCCTCGTCTGTGAGCTATCGTGTGAAAGTAATGTATGCGCACACAACTTTTGATGATATCCAATGCGTTCGACGTGGCTTTACAATGGGTCTAAGCTTCATTGTTTTGCGTTCGATTTATTCCTCGATCAATGACGAATTCTTTTGAATACATTATCGGACCATTGCGCCAGTTTTTGATGCCGGTTTTAAAAGCAGGAGATCCAGTCTACCGTATTACATGAAATCCGTTGTCGCGCGAACCACATCAGATTTAAGCGAGGCAAGCATACATGTAGTTAAACTTTGTGTTGTTTTCGACGCGCGCGAAAACAAACTGGCGTTCCGTAGACAAGACAAATCCAAAATGTGATCAATACTACATGAAATATCCAGTAACCAATACGGGGAAATCGTTTTCCTCTTGCCTAGTGTCACCTAATTTGCATGTTCGATCATGATCTACCGCGTCTATAGTATGATTGATCACGCGTGTGTGTGTGTTTTAACTCGCATTCCGCGTGTCTGGAAGGCGGTAGGGAAGGGGGTGGAGGTAGCAAGCCACCTAGAGAAAAAACGATTGGAGTTGAGCACCCCTTGTGAATGAATTGCATTTGTTCCAAAGGAACTGATACGATTTTCACTTTGAAGCACACTTCTTTCGCATCTAATTTCTTTGCATAAAGAACGTTCTGAAACAAATCATCGTTGATCAAGAGGAACCGGTGAAACTATCTTTTTCCTCTGAGATTGGTCTGCACTATACACCCTGAGAGGATAAATATGTAATTACTACTTTTGACCATTTGTGATTAATTCATTAGTTTAATCCGTTTTTATACACCGGTTGTTGCCAACTTATTTTCCTCCGGGACACGGGTGGTATGTGTTCGATTCACAGTTTTTCCCGTCTATATGTCCCCAGGTAGCCCGTAAATGGCTGAAGCCCTAACCTTTCTCGAATATGGTTTGTACACTTGTACAAGGAAATGATTATTATGATTATGAAAGAGGCCTGATAGATACCTTAAGTTTCAAGAGAAAATTTGTAATATCGACACGCACAACCGATCATCAACTTTTGCGACCGGTTAGATGGCAGATATTTTAACAGTATTCACGAGTTGGATTTATTTTCTAGCAACTTTGGTGGATTATAAGGTAAAGATATTGTCACTATTGGTAGTTATTCTGCCGGATACGGCTTCATGCAATCAAACATACTGTATGATACAAAACAAGGGCAATATAACTTCTGATGTAATGAAGATTATCGTCAGGGGCCAGCAAAACGTGGAGTGTGTAATTTATCGCATAGATTAACTGATGGTGAGAATTATTATCATCAGAAGCATTTAATTTTTTATCAAACAAAACAAACATATAACTCATATCCAGGCTGGAGACTGCGGCTTATCAAAGGATGTTTTATTTGTTATAAACAACCACTGAGTACAGTAACCCTAACGGAGATGGTGAAAAAATCTTACGCATGTCTAAAGTCACTTGGGGCTTGAGAATTTCGGGCCAGTTTACCAATGGGAACGAATCGTTTCACAATTAATTATGAACTGAACTCATTCAATCCAGTCACTGGATCCTGTTGGAACATACAAACTTGGCAATCAGCAGATCCATTACCGGTTACCGAGAACAGACTGAGGTGAGCGAAATGTTAAAACTGTCTGGAATTGCGTACCACTAACAATTTCTGGC